ACTTCACATGATCTTGCTTCTTTCCCTCTGTTTATGCAGCCTAGAACTGTGTTGGCTTTTTTGGCAGCTGCTGCACACACCTGGCTCCTATTTAAATGGTTGTCCACTAGGACTCCAAGATCCCTCTCACAGTTACTACTACTGAGCAAGGCGCCACCTATACTGTGTACCTATGCATTTCGTTTTTCTTGCCTAAATGTAGAACCTTACTCTTTTCACCCTTGAATTTCATTTTATTAGATAGTGCCCAGTCTTCAAGTTTGTCAAGATCCTATATTATACAAGATATTAGAATAAATATAATAAAATAAATATTAGACAAGATTTAGAAATAAAAGGCATGGAAATTTTTTAAAAAGGAAAATATAAATTGCAAGCATTTGCAGATGAACCATTAGAAACTGGGCCCACGCTTTTAGGAAAAATGGAAGAACACAGAGAAGTTGCAGGATTGAAAATAAACAAAGAAAGAACTAAAATGAAACTAAATTTAACTAAAACTAAAATTAGTTAAGAACCTTACAGACAAACAGAAAAATGAATTGACCCCCCCCCCCAAAAAAAGTTGTGTGTAATAATCTCAGCTTCTTCTTCTTCTTCTTCTTCTTCTTCTGTTTTCTTGCAGTCCAGTGAGATTCAGGTTTTATCAGAAGTACTCCGATATGCAGTGGGCCATTGACAATTTCTACCTTGGTCCTGGTTGTGTCGAAAACTGCCAAGGCCATGGCGATTGCTTAAAAGAGCAGTGCATCTGCGACCCTGGATACTCCGGGCCGAATTGTTACTTGACCCATCCTCTGAAGGTACTTAAAGAGCATTTGGACCATGGAAAGCAATGCAAATAAGCTAAATCTTTGCACTCAAAGTAATACCATATCACCATGATGGCGAACCGATGGCATGTGTGCCCAAAGTAGCACTCAGAGAGCCACGTCGCCTGGCACATGCGGCGTCACCCATTCCTCTTCTGGGTTTATGGTGCGCATTTTGGGCATGCAGCTGTCTCAGTAACCAGAGGAGCTGGTCTTCCATTTTTCAGCGCGAGCATGCGTGCCGGCCAGCTGATTTGGCGCATGTATGGCAGTAACCAGAAGACTCACTGGCCAGCACACATGCACGGGCCGGAAACCAGAAGTTTATTTTCCGGCATATGCATGCCCCCTGGGCATCTCCTCTTCCCGGTTGCGGCCCAGACAAGCGTGCGTAAAGTGCTCCCTTTTCAGCACGCGGTGCTGAAAAAGTTCACCATCAGCGGTGTATCATGAACTATTATAAAAGCATTGTGAGGGAATGTAATGAGGGGGCAGATTTCATTTTTTTCATTTTCATTTTCACTTTATTTGTATGCCGCCCTTTTCCCTGGGGGGACTCAGGGNTGCTTCTGTCTCCGCGCTGTTGTTGCCCTGTGATGACGTCAGCTACGTGGTTTCGTCGAGCGCCCTTTAGTCGAACGCGGTTTTGTGGTGGAACCGGCCACAACAGAGAGGCAGACTAGATGCTTATTCTATTCATAAGGCTTTGAAATGGAAAGTTTATGATATAAATGACTTAGTCATGATAAATCAACGTGACTCAGAATGGACAGACTTATTCACATACCTTCTCGGATACTAACACAGCTATTAATTATATTTCTTCTCAAGATTGGGGGTGAGGCGTGTTAATCAACATTTCACTCCATTGATTATGCAGCTGCATATTTAATATTTTTTTTTATTTGGTGCAATGCTAGGATGATTACACAAACGTGTCTTCATGAATAAACCAGAAGACAAGAAGTTTATTCCTCGGTCTATAAATAGAGATTACTGGCGTTTGAAAAGAATGGTGCCTGTAATTTTTATTTCTAAAATCAAGACATCAGGGCTCTCTCTTAAAGCAAACATTTTCTACAGCTAGTTACTCTATCAGCATTTTTTTTCTCTTAAGGGAAGCTTATGAACTTCGAGAGGCACCATAAGATTAGAAAAAAATAAAACAAAAACAAAAACAGACAAGTTAAATGTTACGCGACATAATTTCTCAAAAGAAACGGCAGCGCTGAATAAAAGGAGAGAGGCTGAGGCTCTGTTGCTAGAAATAATTAGTTATTTTGGTTTGTTTTTAATATAAGACGAATGTTACCGTAATCAAACTACAATCTGTCTTAGCCGTGAAACTTAGCTGGGTGACTTTGGGCCAATCACTAGGTGACCGTGAGTTCTAGTTCTAGCCTAGTCACGAAAGACGGCAAATTGACTTTGGGCCAATCACTAGGAGACCGTGAGTTCTAGTCCCCCATTAATCATGAAAGCCAGCTAGGTGATTTTGAGCCAATCATCAGGAGATTGTGAGTTCTAGTATCACCTTAGTCATGAAAGCCAGCTGGATGTCTTTGGGTCAATCATCAGGAGACAGTGAATTCTAGTCCAGCCTTAGCCATGAAAGCCAGCTGGGTGACTTTGGGCCAATCACCAGGAGATTGTGAGTTCTAGTATCACCTTAGTCAGGAAAGCCAGCTGGATGACTTTGGGCCAATCACCAGGAGAATGTGAATTCTAGTTTCGTCTTAGCCATGAAAGCCAGCTGGGTGACTTTGGGCCAATCACCAGGAGATTGTGAGTTCTAGTATCACCTTAGCCATGAAAGCCAGCTGGGTGACTTTGGACCAATCACCAGGAGAATGTGAATTCTAGTTTCGTCTTAGCCATGAAAGCCAGCTGGGTGATTTTTGAGCCAATCACCAGGAGAATGTGAATTCTAGTCCCACCTTAGCCATGAAAGCCAGCTGGGTGATTTTTGAGCCAATCACCAGGAGAATGTGAATTCTAGTCCCACCTTAGCCATGAAAGCCAGCTGGGTGATTTTTGAGCCAATCACCAGGAGAATGTGAATTCTAGTCCCACCTTAGCCATGAAAGCCAGCTGGGTGATTTTTGAGCCAATCACCAG